TGATTTTGAATTATTTCCCCATCGAAAGTGAAAAATGTGGAGATAAAAGGAGCAAATAATACTTATCAATAACCTCTCCTTGCTTTCCCTGTGTGCACAGGAGCTCTGCTGGGGGTGCTGGTTGTGGTTTTGGGAACATCAAGGTTGGGTTTTGTGGCTTCAGCATCGCCCGGGGGTCCCTCAGCAGGTCATGCCAAGGGGCTGTTCCAGCATGGAATGACAAATAATTCCCAATTTTCTGCAGAGCCCAGGCTCTGAGGGTCAGCTTTCCTCGAGGGTCAGCATTAAATTACTGTAAGAGGTGTGGGATTGCTTTGTGCCATAATATGGTTTTTTGTTTCCCCCCATTCCCCAGGAGGGAGGAGCGGATGGACACGAGCCCGAAGCAGGAGGATCCCTGGCTGTCCCACAGCCCCAGCCTGGACATCTACAAAGTCATCAACAAGCAATCTGAAGCAGATCTGGCTGGGACCAGGCCTGGCACCAAGAATTCCTCCTTCCGGGCCCGGGAGCACTCGGAGCTGAGCAGGGACGGGCAGGAGGCAGCGCCCAAACCCCCGGGCAGCGGCTTTGGCACCGAGAGTGGCTTTGTCACCAACGACATCTACGAGCTCTGTGGGGACCGTGTGGGCAGGAGCCAGGAGTCCACCTGGGTGGACAATGAGATTTATGGATATTGAGCAAACAGACCAAAAAAAACCCCCTGGAACTCAGATGACAAAGTGAACACTGATACGAGTTTACCTGCCCTGTCTATGCACTTGTTTTAATAACAGTATTCGTGGTGTTTATCCTGTTTTGCATTGTCCCCATATTCTTCTCTTTTTTTTTTTTTGAAAGAATGTGGGTTTTAACGATCCAGACTGAAAAGAATGTATATATTTTGCTTTGCACCAAGCCCCCTTTGCCCCGGGAACGGCTTGTTAATAATCTTGATTCACTTTTTTGTACCAAAGATATGCCTTGAAAACCAGAGGACAATCCAAAAATCCTTATTTATTTAACTGACCCACTTGTCTTAAAGGTGCTAAAAGTTGCCTGTCAGGTGTGATGGAGCCCTGCTTTCCTGGAGCCAGGGGGGAGTGGGGAATGAATGCCTTGGTGTGCTTTGCTTGTGTGTGCAACTTTTACTTTACCTATTAAACTGCCTTTGTCTCAAATCACGAATTTTCTCACTTTTCCACTTCTTTCCCTCATCCTCCTGCAAGGGAGGGAGTGAGGGGAGACCAAGAACATAAAGCATGTCAAGCAGGAACACAAATAGGACACACCTTTTGCCCTGCAGGTGTTTCTGGCTCCAGGAGAGAGCAACATTTTGCTGTTGAACAAATCTCTGAAGCACCTAAAATGAATTTTTAGCTCTTGACAGGGTTCCCTTAAAAGCTTGCTCTCCTCCCTTGCATGGAAATAAATAGGAAAAGGAAGAAAAACCAATTTTCACAAGCCACCAGGAAACAAAGGTTTGGCAAAAGGTGTTTTATGAGTGGCTGAAACAACAACAGAACTGAGTGCAGGGGTAGCCACGAGCCTGTTCTGCCAAATTAAATTGGCAGGAAGAGGATTTTACTGCAAACACTGAAATATTTCAGTGCACAAGAGCTCTGTGCTGCACATCTGCAGTGTCACTGTGTCTGCCAAGCCCCTGCTGTTCCTCCACCAGAACGTGGTGCAAGATGAAGCCCTGAAAGAAGTAATTCCTTTTTAAAAAAATAATAAATCAGTCTTCCAGGTCTTTTGAAAATGGCATCGAGTTAGCAACAATTTCTCCTGGAAAGCAAAATCCCTGTACAGGAGAATAGGCAGTTCTGGGCACTTGGAATGTCTGGAGTTTCCAATGCAGTAATTAGTGCTCTTTCATCAAGAAAAAAATCTATCTGTTTTGACTCTTATATTCTTGGTCTCTTCCCTCGGTTTTTTTGGTTTGTAGTTTTTTTTTCATTTTTTTTTTCTTTGCAGGCATTAAGCATCAGGCACATCCTGAGCATTTCAGGCGTTGCAAACCAGAAAATGAGAGGAAAACCTTGTCAGAGGTCGGAGATGAGGCGTCTGAGGCTGTGTTTTGGTCTGGTCCTGCCTCCCTGAGCTCGGGCAGTGAGCTGCGTGTGCCCAGGTGAGGGGATTTTGGAAATTCTGCTGTTGGACGTCTCCTCTGGAGCCCCGGAGCTGCAGTGACCACACGAGGGCATGTGCGCTCCATGATTGTCCTCCACGAGCTGCTCCATCCCGGGCTTTGCCAGGAGCGCTGGGATCCCTTTCCTTGGAGAACGGCAGAAGACACCAGTGGCCCCTGAAATCTGCGGGACAAAGGATGTTTTTGTGACTGCAGAAGTGGCCAGGAAGCAAATAAATGTTTTAACACTAAAGAATCCAGTTTATAATAAAGCGACTGCGAATGAATATCAGGCAATATTTTGCACAGTGGAGAAAAAAGTTACTTTTAACACCCCAAGCTCGAGTCTGTAAAAAAAAATGAAGCCCCTCCACAGCAGAGAAATGTCACAAGTGGCACTTTGGGATGACACCACTTTCTATTCAAGTAGGATTATGGAAAGCTTGCTCATGTACCTATCAATCACTTGAAAGGGTGGATGTCTGACTAACTCAAGTCATCAGTTAGTCATTGCCAGAACTTCTGAAGGGGATAAATAGCACAGTGAGAGCACTCTGGTTGTTCTCCATGGCAGCCCAAGTCAGCAGCGTCATCTCCAAATGTCATTCCTTAGAGAATCTCGTGAACAGGGAAGGACAGGCATTAATTTTTGCACAGAGAACTTCAGCTCCCTTTGCAGAACAGTCATCCCTGTTTGACACGGAACAAATTTAACCAACTTTTCACAAGTATGACACAGCTTTATGGGTAAAACCTGGACAAAAAAGGGAAAGCAAGAGGCACAAGTTTGTTCCTTGCATTCTTCCACTTGTTCTGTTCGTGGCCATGCTCTGTTTTGAGCTGTGTTTGCATCAGAAAAGGTCTGTGGCTGTGTTGCTGATCCAAAAGACACGAGGCCTCTTGTTCCATCAGCTTTTGGATGTGCCTTGTTTGGTCAGTGGAATGGAGCAGAGATTCCAGGGATGATTCCTGGTACCCAAAGTGAGTCCTCCAGCCTGAGATGGGGCAGAGGATGAGAGTGGTCAGAGAGGGACAGGCATGAACCAGGAGGGCAAAGATTACTGCAGAGTTGAAATGGCATTTTTGAAATGAAAGCAAGCTCATGTATAAGTGCACAGACAAATCAGACCTGGTGGACTTAGTACTGGAAAGGGAATTTAGCACGAAAGGCCTTAACTTTTTTCACACATTGTCAACCCTGAAGGTCCTCTAAGCATTTCATGTCAAAGGGCCTAACAGAGCTCCCCAATCTGCCTTTCCAGGTGTGCAGGAAATAAATAGAGGAATAGTTTAGTTATAGAAGGGACCTGCAAAAATTATTTAGTCCAACTGCCTCACCACTTCAGGGAAAAACCAAAGTTAAAGTGTGTCATTAGGGCATGATTCAAGTGCCTGTCAGACAGTGCCAGGCCTGGGGCATTGACCCACTCTCCAGGAAGCCTGTTCCAGTGTTTGACCACCCTCTTGGTAAAGAAATGCTTCCTAATATCCAGTTTGAACCTCCCTTGATGCAGCTTTGAGCCCTTCCCACAAGTCCTGTCATTGGATTCCAGGGAGAAGAGCTCAGCAGCTCCATCTCCACATCCCCTCCAGAGAGCCAGGAGGTTGTCCCTCAGCCTCCTTTTCTCCAAGCTGGATGAAGCCAGAGGCTCCAGCTGTCCCTCCCAGGACATCCCTCCTCCTCCAGCCCCACCAGCAGCTCCATTAACCTCCTCTGGATGCACCCAAGCACCTTCTGAAATGGTGGGGCCCAGAGCTGCACCCAGCACTCAGTACTGTGTGATCTGAGTGGGATTTTGGGGGGCTGATGTACCAACAAGAGGCATCTTTGTGATCTGGAATAACTGGGGCCACTGGAAAAGCTGCTCAGTGCCAGGGAGAGAGGATTTCTGTCTTCAGGACCCACAAAGTCTGATCCAGGTGCAGCAGCTCAGGGTCTCAGTGCATGGAGCCCCTGACTTAGGGCTGGAGAGACACCTGGGGCCGACCTATTTCCCCTCGTCCTGCTAACGAGCTGGGCCCCTTAGAGAAGGCTGACAGGGGATCTCATTAATGCAGGGGGTGGGTCTGACCCCCTCCTACAGCCACACTGTGGGGCACCTACCGAGCTGGGAGAGCAGGAGGGGGCTTGGGGGGCACAGCTGGGGAGGGGATGCCCACACCAAGCCGTGGGGGGAGCCTGGGGGACCCATCGACCTTCAGCACCACTGCCCCATCCCCGTCTCTACCTCCATTCCCCCCTCTCCGTCTCTACCTCCATTCCCCCTCCATCCTCATCCCTGTCTCCATCCTTGTCCCTGTCCCCATCCCCACCTCTATCCCTGTCCCCATCCCCATCTCTGTCCCCATCCCTATCCTCATCCCCATGCCCATCCCATTCCCTATCCCCATCCCATTCCCTATCCCCTTCCCCATCCCATTCCCTATCCCCTTCCCCATCCCATTCCCTATCCCCTTCCCCATCCCATCCCCTATCCTCTTCCCCATCCCTATCCCCATCTATCCCCATCCTCTTTCTCACCCCTATTGCTATCCATCCCATCCCATCCCCATCCCCTATCCTCTTCCCCATCCCATCCCCATCCCGTCCTCTTCCCCATCGCATCCCCATCCCCTGTCCTCTTCCCCATCCCCCGTGCTCTCCCCCGTCCCCTCTCCCGGCTCTGTCCCCACCCCGTGCCCGGGCTCGGCCCCGCTGGGCGGGCGCGCCGCCGGTTTCCATGGCGAGCCCCCGCCCGCGGTGACGCGCGCGGTGACGCCGCTCGGTGTCCGTGTGTCGGTCCGTCGGCGGCGGAGGGACGGGCGGAGCGGGCGGAGGGGGCGGCGCGGCCCCGGGGCCGCCGAGCACCGACCCCCGAGCAGCCCCGAGCCGCCGCCGCCGCCGCCCCCCGAGCCCAGCATGGTGATGGCCGAGCCCCGGCGGCCCCCGGCGCTGCTGCCCCGCGGGCTCGGCCCTGTCCGCGTCGGCTTCTACGACATCGAGGGCACGCTGGGCAAGGGCAACTTCGCCGTGGTGAAGCTGGCGCGGCACCGCATCACCCGCAGCGAGGTGAGGTCGCTCCCGCCGCATCCCGACCCCCCCGTCCCGCCCCGAGCATCGCCGCGCTCCGCTGCCGCCCCGGGGATGGAGCCCGCCCGGGATGGGGGTACCCGGCTCTCCGGGATGGGGGTGGAGCTGGCCCCGGGATGGGGGTGCCCTCCGCAGGATGGGGGTACCCCCCGGGGATGGACCTGGCCCCGGGGATGGGGGTACCCCGCCAGGGATGGGGGTACCTGGCTCCGGGATGGGGGTGCCCCCTCCGGGGGTGGAGCTGGCCCCGAGATGGGGGTGCCCTCCGCAGGATGGGGGTATCCCCCGGGGATGGGGGTACCCCACCGGGGATGGGGGTACCCGGCCCCGGGGATGGAGCCAGCCCCGGATTGGGGGTACCCGGCCCCAGGATGGGGGTGTTCCCCCGGGATGAGGGTACCCCTCCGGGGATGGAGCCAGCCCCGCACTGGGGGTACCCAGCCCTAGGATGAGGGTACCCCTCCGGGGATGGACTCGGCCCCGGAATGGGGGTACCCGCCCCCGGAGCCGGGTATTCCCTTGCGCGCCCCTCGCCCGCTTTTGTCCCTCCTTCCGGCACCTCCCGCGGCGAAGGGGATATTTTATTTTATTGCAGCAGCCGGGTCGGTTTTTCCTGCTTTCATCTTGCCCCGGGAAGGGCAGGATAACGCCTCCTCCCAGCCCTTGTGGCTCAGGCCGCGGGCGAGTGCTCGGGGATGTCACCCCAAGGATGTCACCCCCGAGGATGGCACCCTCCGGACCCCGAGCATCCTCGGGGCGAGCAGGGCAGGCGGCTGGTGGGTGAGTTGGGGAGCGCTCCCTGTGTGAGCAGGGGAGGTTCAAACCTTGTGTCGTGCCCCCCGTCATGCCCTGGGTCTGTCGCGGTGTCCTGACCCGGCCGGTGCTTGCAGATGAGCTGTGCTTCTCCCTCCCTGGGTTATCCGTTCCGGCAGAGGAACTTGTGTGTGTCCTGAATCCTTCCGTCCAGCATCCTGCAAGTTAACCAAATTCAACCATTTTTAGCCTCTTTGTTTAACCGCCCCCGGGTATTACCCGGTGATTATTGTTAATACCTTGTGCTTTACCTAAAACAAAAATGATTGTCAGTCTGGGTGGATAAAATGCAGTCGTGTTCACTTTAAAAGGGAGGGAAAAAAAATAAGGTATCTGGTGAGAGTAATGGCTCTGAAAGATCAGCTTTCTCCTATATGTTGCTCTTAGGTAGTTTCAGTCACTACACCTAGAGGTGAGGTTTTTGTAAGCCTGTGCTCTGGCTGCTTTCATTGTTTGCTGAAGAAGAGGTTACCGTGCTGCTCTGTGCCTGACAAAAGTCATTCAAATGTTTCCTGAAGTACAAAGTGAAAACTGAAAAGACCTTGCAGTTTATTCATCACCGTGGGCTCGTGTGGCAAAATCATTCCTGGCAGGAATGGAGAAATGCTCAGTTGAGGGAAGCAAACCCGTGGTGCTTACACTGCCCTGGCCACACAGGGCTACCTGAGCTTTGCATCCCAGGGGTTAACAGCAATTTTTCTTATTTCTCAAGTTCCTAACAGTTCTTTTTAAGCCCTTCCTTGCTGTTCCTGAAGAGCCAAGCAAAGCCCTGGCTGTGTTAGTGCTCCCTTCCCAAGTTTGTTGCCAGATGCCAAACTTGTAAAGGCTTCACTCGAAGATATTAAGTTGTCACTTGCTCTTCAGTTCTCATTTCTTTGGCAGCCTCTGTGATGGGGGTGAGAACTTTAATCTTTTATTTGTATTGTACTTTTAGAAAGTATGTTTGTTTAGCATTGTTCAAAATAACAAAGGTTACAGAAAACTTAGAGCTCAGCAGCTTCTCAACTCTAGTATGATTTTATTTCACCCATGTCTTAAGAAATTGCTGAATTCCAGTCCATTCTAATACAGTCTTGATATTTTTTTTAACTTTTCTGTGCAGTCAGAAGCCTCTTTACCTTCTGTGTGATTTTTAGATTTGTGTCAAGGTCTTTGATTTTTTTTTTTTTTTTAGTGCAGCTGCATCGTCTTTCTGCAGTAAGAGATGCAGGAGGTGTTTATCTGGAATTTAATTGCTGAGTTAGTCGCTGGAAGTACTTACATGGCCTTTGAGGAAGGGGAACCCTATTAAGATTACTTCTGGTGATGTCAGAGGAAATAAATTCCAGCCAAATACTATTTGCAATAAGCACTTCCAGTTTGGAGCACCTCATCTGATTGTTAGATCACTGAGCACACAGAGTGGAAGTCCTGCTTGTTCATGTCTCCAGATGGAAAGCAGGTCATATTTCAAGCTTGTTCTAAACTATTTCTTGAGTTGCTAATTTCTCTGTGCCTTTAATAAAACTCCAGGGGAAGAACACTCAGTTTTTTAGAAAGGCTGTGCTTGTGTTCTGCTGCAGGAAGGTCTGTGCTGTGTTGCTGCTGAGACTTGCTCAGAGAAGCTGTTTTAAAAGGACTATTTCCTTGCCTGAGTTTCTCCTGAACATCCCTGTTTGAAACCCTTTAAATTCAGAACCTCTTTGTCGTTGGCCTCGTTTAACATCAGTATTTTGTGTGGTTTTGACCTATAAAATATTTGCTGGTTTTGTTTTTACACAACTCTGCCCGGCCAATAACCATCAAATTAAAAAGGATGGGATCTTATTGCCTTGAATGTCAGCACTTACAGATGATGTACAATCCATCCTTTTTATGGAAAACCTGCAGATAGGAATATAGAATGGCAGAGTACAGGTGAGAATGGCATGAAAGCAGACAGGGGTGTGCAAAGTCAGAAACCTCATCGTCAATCCCACATTCCCACAACCCTAAAATTCCACAATTAATCAAAGAGAAGTGTGAAAGTTAAGGAAAATGGGGGGGATTTGTGGGAATAGAGGTGGTGCCTGACTCTTTTTACTGCCAGTCCATGCCCCAGAGGGGGGACAGGGCTGCCCTCGACCTTTGCTTTGCCTGTTTGAGTGTTTGTTGCCAGTGCAGTTGAGGGCACGTGCTTTCCTGCCACGCTCATTTATCCTCTTGCCCAGAAATCCTGTGATCCCAGGGTAACTTCTGTTAATGAGGCGTGGAAATAAGCAACAGATTTTTATTTCTTTTTTTCTCCCCTCCTCTCGGAAGGAGAAAGAAAAGAGAACAGAAGTAACTGGGAGCAGAAAGTTGAAGAAGACAGAGATTTGCTCCTGGTGAAATAGGATGTCGTGTGAAATAATGGAAAAGCTCTTGGAATAGGTGAAGGTGCTGCTTGGAAAAAGCACTTTCAGGATGAAGGAAGGTCTTTGTGAATAGGCTGTGAGAGAGAGAGAGAGTCGTGTTCCCCACCCACCCCCAAAACTCTGTAACCAACACCCTCTAAGGATTAATCACCTACAGAGGGACACTGGGCATTGCTCCCCAGGTGAAAATAAAGTTCTTTATGTCCCTGTGGGTCACATTGTGCCTCTAACTGCCTGCTGGGTTACAGGGACTTTGGATTTTTCTCTGGCAAAAAAAAAATTAATAATAATTTTTAAATAAAAATTTAAATTTAATAAAAATTAAAGAAACCTCCAGCTCCTGATAGGAACTGTGGTAGCAGTTTAGCTGATCAGGTGTGCTTAGGTGGGACACAGGCAGGGACAGTTTGGATGTGAATTTTGGGGGGGGAAAAGTTGTGTTGTGGTTTGGTTTTTGCTTTGGAGTGTTTGGGTTTTGCCTTGTTTTTTTTTCTTTGAAGAATTAAGTGAATAACGTGCAAACAATGAAAACTGAAAGCTGGAGTAGCTGAAGAGCAGAAGAACTTTTCATCTTCTTTGACAATCATTTCATCTTCACTTCTTGGCAGCTTCAATTCCCAGATGTCAGATGAGGGTTGAGCAAAACTCCAGTCTAGTAAAAGAGGGAAGGAAATATGTGCTATCCCTAATATTTTACAACTTAGGGGGAATCACGAAAGTTGCAAAGCTATTTTGGAATGTGACCCTTTGAGCAGCAAAAACTGGTGCTGGGGGAAGGGAAGGAACGGGATCCCCCTTTTGTTTCCCTTGTCAGAAGAATTTTGTGCTAATATTATATATTGATATTTGGCTGGGGGTTTTTTTGTTGTTTGTTTCTAGCTGTTGCTAGTAGTTGTTGGCAGGCTGTGTATTTAGGAACAAAACACACTCTTTGAGATAGGAAACTGTTCCATGGCTTGAAGGAGCTTCTCCACCTCTAAGAATTACATCCCTTTTCCTGTCATCGTGACCCAGCTGAGCTCATGGACACGAGTGAGCTGCTGAATGCTCTGTTCCTCCTCACATCATTATGAAAGATGGGGCTGGATTTTTAAGCATTTCCAAGTGGTTCTTCTCTCTAAATCCTCTCTGGCCCTGGCAGGATGTGTGAAAGTTAAAAGATGCAGAATAGACTTGAGATGTTTAATCTGCATTTGAGTGTGGAAGAAGAGGTGGCAGCTGCTCCTGTGCTGCTTCCCCTATAGAAGATGCACATATATAATGTGCACATATAAAGTATATACATTGTGCACATGTATAATGTGCTCATATAAAATATATACATTGTGCACATATGTAATATGCACATATAAAATATATACATCGTGCACATGTATAATATGCACACTGAGAATTGCACAAGGGTTGCAAAAAGCAAATTTTTTCCTCCTTCAAGGAGGCTTTTACTGTGTTAAAAAACCCTCTGGATGGTCCCAAGTGACTCCACACCATGAGACAAATCATGGTTTTGATGCAATGGGGTGGGATTTTTTAAACCAAAAACCCATTTAAACTGGAAATATAGTTTGTTCTCCCTTAGTTTGTAGCTCCAATAAGATATTCCTAATTAGCAGAGAGCTGTGCTTAGGGTTGTTTACCTGTGGTTACACAACACACACTTTTATGAATCCATTGGTGGTGGCTGTCAACTGACTGATGCAGCTCCTGTTTGGGATTTTTGGACAGATTATGGATGCAGCAGCACAAAATTCACCTTTTAACATGATAACAGAGGTAGCAAGTACTTTTCTGGCTCATTCCACGGTGCTGCAATACTTTGTTTTCCAACATATAATGTGATTTTTCGAGGAGTTCAGTGTTAGCTGTGTTAATAAAAAGCATTTTACAATTACCTGGTGATGTCTTGGTGAAAACATTCCCGTGGCAGTTTTCATCCAAGTCCTGGACACATGGCAGTGTTAATAATTTTTTGGGAGGGTCTGTGTGGATGGACAACAGGAGGTCACTCTGTGCATTAACCTTCTGTGACCTGTTCTACATCTACACTCAGTTTTTATTTGTGGCTTTGGGGAGGGGGAAGGAAATGTTTCGAAACTCTTGAAAAAGAGGGTTTTTCTGGATCCATTTTGCTCCCAGGGATTGTGTGCCCTGAAGACTTGTTTTTCCTGAAGAAGGTTTTGGTTTCAGTCTTTCAACAGCCTTGGAGAGCTGTTTTATTTCGGGCAAGGAGATGGGATAGGAAACTTCTGGAAAAGGAAGAAAGTAGGAAACATTGGAACATGATTCACTGCTCTTGGCCAGAAAGTGCAGTGGAGGTTAGAGCAGGATCTGTGGCCATGCTTCCCAAACTTATATCACCCATTCTTTCTTTATTATTCTTTTTTTCAATGCTGCTTCCCTCTAATCACATTTTACTGGTGGTTGCTCAGGAAATAAGAGCTGCTCAAGGATTTTAACCGTGTAAAGACAAAAAAAAACCAAAATGCCCTTTTTTTATTTATATGAAATTGCTTACTTATATTTTTATTTATATGAAATTGCTTACTTATATTTTTATTTATATGAAATTGCTCACTGTTTAGGAACTGACTTTATATGGTTGCAGAGCATCATTAACCTCAGAAAACATAAAACTGCAGTGGGCACTTGTTATTGAGAAACTGGAGTGGAATTGGAAGTACTTAATCTTTAAAAGGGAAGAAGGACAAATGAGTTATCTTGGGTTTTGGAGGGAAGTGGATACTTTTTTTTTTTTAATCTGGGAAACCAAAGTTAAAAAACTGCTGCTGTTGGAAGGTGGGAAGTGCAGAGTTCAGGGTAAAATGCTGGAGATTTTTGGAGCTTTTCATCTCCCAAACTGGAGATGCCTCGTTCCTGGAGTGGAAGGTGCATCACCACTGTGTGCCAGGAATGTCACACTGCTCCAGAAGAACCCTTTTTTTTGATTTGTAAGGAAGAAACAGCAGGTTCCAGCCCTCTGAAACCCCAAATAATGGGTGTGAAAAGCAGAGATGTGCAGGATGAAGGAGAAAGCAGCTCCTGTCTCTGGCTGAGCGCAGAGGGACGGGATAAAACAAGTGAGAGGAAGGGCAGAAATGTGACACAGGGCTTGTTTTTAATAAATATTTCCTGGTATCTGAGGTTCTGTGGCTTTGCTCTGGTTGCTCTGACACTCTGGGGCTTTCTAGGGAAGCGATTTCTCCTCAGGCTCAGGACTGGTGCCTGCAAAAAATCAGCAGGAACCAGAAGTCCTTTTATGAGGTGTGAGCTTAAATTGGGCTGGGGAGGCTGAAAGGTGCTGCTGGTGGGGTTTTTTTCCCCTAAAGCTGCAGCAATTATTATTATTTGCATCCTCTGCTGCCTCCTGGCATCAGGGCAGAATGTGTGAATGACAAAGTGGCTTCACTTTATTTTTATGCAAACCCCAAGTGGAGCTGGAAGGAATGGGATTGGAATGGGGGGTAACAAACAGCAGCAGGATCAATGTCCTTGATTTCCATGGGTTTTGTCCTCATAGTCCAAAGGCAGAAACTTTCAAAGGGAGACTTGTGATTATTATTTTTTAGGATTTACCACCTTGAGCATCACTGTTCCATGTGTTTCTCAGCTCCATGTGATGAAGAATAGAGGCCGTGCAATTAATGGTGTAAAATTTGTAGCATGTGGCCTTTTTTGCTTGTTTTTAATGGCTGCATATGACAATATTCTTATAAATGTTTGTTGATTCTTGATAAAATTGTTTTAGGGAGTTCTGCATTATTTTTAAAAATTGCTTAAAAGTTTTAGACGTTGTTCAAAAAGAAAATCCCACAGCTACCCTTTGAAAATTTTGTCTGTTTTAGATAAGTCTTGTTCTGCTTCAGCTCTGCAAAAGAACCTCCTGCATCTCACAACCCGATTTTCCCTGATTACCATTTAATCACTCAGAGCAGAATCTTATTTTCCCGTTGGTTGGGGGAGACAAGGGACTTCTAAAGAGGTTGTGGAGCAAAAGCAGAGTGAAATGAAGTCAATAAATAGTTAATTGTGAATTCAGGTGGGTCCCTAATCAGTGTTACTGGAGATAATGAGGTTCACCTCCTGTGGATTTTGTCTCCTGCTCAGCAGCTGTCTCCCATGTTCAATAGTTTGTGAAATGCTGTTATAATTGGGAGCATTTGTGTGACTTACATTGTTTGCTCCTGCTTCAGCATTAATAATGTGATATTCAGGGTGAATAAACAGCGTTTATACATTCAGCACTCTTTAGTATTTTTATCCTTTGCATGGTTTTTAGAGTGGCAAC